AAAAAAACGAACCATCCAAGTAGTGACTATTGTTTCGTATGCTATTGCTATGAGATCTGCCGTTTTAGGACCTCTGTAATCTTAATTTCTGATAAATGTTGTCACACTGTGAAGCATCGGGTTGTACACGCATTGCAAATTTCAATAGGAGTATCACCTGAAGCCTATGACGATCGCAGTTCTCTCGGGAAGCACGGCAGTGTAACCAGAAGAGCTGTTATCCAATTTGCCATATACTGTCACATTTTTAATCTGAACATGCTATACATATAGTTCTCTTTCATTAGAGATAGATTATGAGATGACACCTCTTTCTCTCCATGATCAATGGTTTTAATACAATCTTCGGGGTTGCTAGAGTGCGCTGCAGCACTAAGCGGAAACATGATTCTTCGAACAAAGGTAGGGTTATAGTAGTTATAGTAGTTTTCCTCGATATAGTAATCGTAGTCCGTTGTCATCTCATGAGAGCTCGTTGACGTATCGCTGTAGCTCGTTGAAGTATCGTTGGAACTCTTTGTTGTTTCGTTGCGACACATTGTAAAACTAAAGAGGAAGAGGAGCGTGATTATCTTGAATGTCATGGAAGCTTCTGAAATCGTATCTACTTCGCCATAGTAATAGAGAGATATAAAACGCTTTGCTTTGTAAGTGTACGAGGCAAAAAGCTTTTGTCAATGCAAAACAACAATTGATTAGCGAGTGGCTATGTTGCCTAGCTTGCATTCTCACCCTCTTATATCCACTTAGGCACATTATGTTTGAAAAAATAAAACAAAACAAAATTCCATTTAAGTTTAGCCTCGTCAAGAAACGTTTTTTTATTGCAAAAGGCTTATCTAATGTTTTCAAAATCGAATGTTGTTCTTTATTGCCATCAAGGGTAATGTTGCATCAAAAGTGTACCAGCGAAATATCGGCTGAGCTTCAATGGAAGATAGACTGGCTGAATAGCATTTAGAATACAGTACCCGATTCTAAGCACACTACTTGCAATATTTCTGGATTACTTTATTCCAAAACTGAATACTAGGAAATCGATCACCAAATATATAATTATATTTATGTGCAACATCTTATAGTTTAGTGCAAAAAAATCTTCGGGTTATATTTAGTATGATTGTGCCGGTACGCAAATTGTGAGCGCATAGATTTCCACTGCAAATAAGTTGTGTAGTGCCCTGGGTTGATTGTGTTCCTAT